GCCCCGCGGGCTAGTGGGACGTGTGCGCCGGGCTCCACAGCCCCGAAGGAGGACTGGCTCGGCGGACAGGGGGCAGCATGCTGAAAGGCATGGGCGACGATGAGGCAGCAAAGTCTAGGGGGGAGAGAAGCGCAGTGAGGGACGCAGCAGAGGGGGCGCCGGAGAGACAGCCCCCAGGCGCAGCCCTCCACGCAGCTGGTCCTGCCGGGGACCCGCCCACCAGCTCCCATTTCCTCCAGGCCCGGACCGGCCCTCCGGGCCTCACGCCCTAGCTGCAGCTTTTGCCCAGGGCCAGCCAGGCCTTCTGAGACTCGGGGTTCCCCCCAGGACCCCTCCTCTGAGCCCCAGCTCTGCCAGGGTGGCTACTCACAGTGGGGGCTGTGCCGCGGGCTGGCTCGCGGGGAGAGGGCAGGTGGCGCGGGCTCCCGGGGCGCGCAGACCGTGTGGTAGGCTGCAGACGGCGAGGTGTTAGAGTTGGGGCTGGAGGGGGAAGCAAACCGGCAGGGGTGGGGGCAGCGCGCCAGCTCACCTATGATCATGACGGCCGTGCTAGCCAGCAGGGCGAAGAGCGTGAAGAACATGACTTGGTAGGAGTCCAGGAAGTGCTGGAAGCGGCCTGCGCCGTCTGCCATGCCAGGAAAGACAGTCACCCAGGCCGCCACGGGGCCCCCGTGTCCCGAGGGCGGGGGCCCCCCACATCTCGGGCTACCTGAACCCATCTGGTTTCACCTGGGACCCTGCTTCCTGGGACTGCCCACCGGTCAGCGGTAACCTCCCACCCCGTTCAAGCGGGGAAGAGGCCTGCCTGGGGGCGTCTGGAGGGAGTGGGTTGCCCCGAAGTCTCCCAACCAGTCACCTCCCTGCCCTGAGGCGCCCAGGGCTCCCCGCGGCCCCCCGCGGCTGCCTCTCACCTGCCCTCAGCCCAGGGTCTCTGACTGCACCCCCCCACTCTGCTCCCCAGTCCAGATCCAGTGGGAGCGGCCCCTCCCCCCAGCAGAGGCTAGGCCACTCCATGTGCCCCCCCACCCCAGCCAGATCTTCAGACTCCATCCTTCCTCCCTGCGTTTGGAATCTGCCCTGTTTCGGGGAGAGGGGGTGCTTCTCGGGCATCGGCCTAGCCCAGGCCCGGCACACAGCAGGCACTAAGACATGAGCGCAGAAGAAAGGCACTCATCCACCGCCAAGCGCCCGCGCCCATGCCCACGGTGTGTCAGGTGGGCCCTGTTCTAAATGCTGTCCTCACATACTGACTTCCACGGGGGAGGGGCGGTGGAAACCGCCATAATTAATCACATCAATCCCCATGCAGGCGGGCTGCCCGCCACAGCGCTGTGGAAGGAGGAGGAGGGCAGGAGGGCCTGCGAGTGAGGTCTGAGTTCCCTGCTCTGCAGCACAGCGGTGTGTGTGTGTGAGGGGCAGGGACCCCGGGGACCGGCCTCCCCAACAGAAGGAACAGCGAATGCCAAGAGGTCGACTAGGGGCTGCCCGGGTTCCAGAAGCAGGAAGGAGGCCAG